ATATTGCCACCCATCTTGTACTAAATTCTGGGTGGCTCACAACCAAAAGATAAAACCATATCAATGTACAATAAAAATATTAAACCCAAAAAATATTTAAACCAAAAAACCCTGGCACCTTAACTAAATTTAGCTCACCCTATCCCAGTGCTTAGGACATTGTTTCCCAACCTTGGCCCCTTGAGGATGTGTGGACTTCAATTCCCAGAATTCTGGGAGCTGAAGTCCACACATTGTCAAGTGGCCAAGGTTGGGAAACACTGGCTTAGGGGAAAAGCCAGGTCTTGAGTGTTTTTCGGAAGGTTAAAAGGGTGGAGGGCTGTCGAGCATCAAGGGGAAGGGTATTCCGTAGGGCAGGGGGTGCCATGGAACATCACGCTTCCTAGGTCCCATAAATGGCAACATTTAAGGGAAGGGACTAGAAGCGTGCTCCCTATCCAATCTGGTAGGGCAGGCAGATGTTGCTAGGAGAGGCAGCCCCACCAATAACCTGGCCCTGTGCCATATAGGGCTTTAAAGGTAATAACCAGCACTTTGAATTGCACCTGGAAGAAAACTGGGAGCCAGTGCAGCTCATGCAACTGAGATGTAACGTGGGTGAACCTACGGGCACCCATCACTGCACACAGCAGCAGCTTTCTGGACCAGTTGTAACTTTCAGGTGGTCTTGAAGGGCAACCCCACATACAGCACATTGCAGTAATCCAAGCACAAAGTGTCCAAGGCGTGAGTGACCATGAGCAAGGCCTCCTGGTCCAGGAAAGGGTGCAAATGGCACACAAGACAAATCTGTACAAAGGCCCCCCCAGCTGCATCTGCCACCTGCTCCTCGAGCATGAGCTGTGAGTCTAGGAGGACCCCCAAATTGCACATCAGCTCTGTCTGGGAAGTGCCACCCGCTCCAGAGTCAAAGATGACATAGCACCTGGGCTGGGGTGGGGGGACAAAGACCCAGAGCCACTCCGTCTTGCCAGAGTTGGGCCAAAGCTGGTTCCTCCCCATCCAGACCCTTACCACCTCCAGGCACTTGTTCAGCGCTGCAACAGCATTACCTGCCCAACAAGGGGTAGAGATGTATAGCTGTGTATCATCAGCGTACTAATGATATCGTACCCCATGCCATCGGATGACCTCCCCACTAATTTAAACTAGTCTGGCTATGATTTATTCTACAAAATATTCCTAGATTCAGGAGACTGAATCTTAAATATTCTGTCAGGGCAAGATCTCTTAAAGCATCTCGGACAGACGGCTCTCCAGCATTTGTTTGAAGACCCCCAGTGATGAGGAACATAAAACCTCAAGAGGCAACCTCTTCCACCAGTTGACAGCTCTTATCATCAAAAAGTTCCCCCTAATACGTAATGTCTATCTTGCATCTCTTCCCCTGTAGTTTCAGTCATTGGTTCTGGATAGCTATTTATCCCCTGACAGGAATAGAGAAGGATACCGATTTCTTTTTCATGGTGCATATAATGCAGGGAAGCAATGAGTATCTTGGGCAGCTCCCCTTAACGGTTAAAAACTCATAGAACTTGTCAATCTAAAGTTGACGTTTCCCTATTTTCTTGTTCTTCCTCTATATTCCTTCTTCCCCTGTTTTACTTCAAAACAATCATATGAAGTGGCCTAAACTAAGAGTCAGTGACAGTGCTGTGATCAAGTGGGGAGTTGAGTCTTCTCTTCTCACTCCTCGGTTGTCCTTGTCATTGTTAATGCAATAAGTATTGAAAGTTGTTGCAGATTTTATTCTTCGTTGTACACTACTTTATAACTGCAATAAAAACTTTTCTGGCTCTGTACTTTCCTTCCCTCCCCCTCTCCCCCCCCCCCCCCG